TATTGAATAAAGTCAGTAAATTCGTAAGACAGGAACGCCTCTTTGTAAAACCGTGTTGAGATTCAATTTATGCCTTTCAATATGGCTACGAATTGCCTCGGCAATTATTGATTCCAAAAATTTCCCAATTATGGAGGTAAAGCTTATTGGTCTATAGCTCGAAGCTAAGGACCTGTCACCCGCCTTGTAAATAGGTATTACATTTGCCATTTTCCACTTATCTGGCGCTATGCCAGTTTGTAGTGATTTGTTGAAATGATTAGCCAAAGGTTTGCTAGGTTCCTCTTTACATTCCTTTAACACCCTTGCAAACAATTCATCAGGACCTGGGGATTTGTTAGGTTTTAATTTCTCTATTTGTCTGAGGACCATGTCACTAGTTACCCCAATCGTGCATATTTTATTATCATCCTGGTCTACATAATTTAATATTTCTGGAATTTCGCTAGTTTCTTCCTGAGTAAAAACTGAGAGGAAGTAAATATTGAAAATTTCACACATTTCTTTATCACTGTCAGTAATCTGACCTGAGTTACTCTTAAGTGAGCCTATCTTGTCCCTAATCTTCTGTATACCTGAAAGAACCCTTTTGGGTTAGTCCTCAAATCCCTTACGATCTTAGCCTCATAATCCCTTTTTGCTTTCCTTATTCCTTTTTTTCTCTCTTTAACTGAATATATTGATTTCTTAACTGTCCATCCCCTCTTTTGATATACATATATATGCCTCTCTTTTGACCAGTGAGATGTTTTAATCTATTGTTCATCCATTTGGGATCATTTTTGTTTGATCTAATTTCTCTACTCGAAAGAATCATTGTCTGGGGAGCTAGAACTAGGCTCTGAAAAACGTCATATTGGCAACCAACACCACCAACGTGACCCATAGCCAGGTCATTCCAAGTTAGCCCACCCAGGTAATTTGTCAGTTCCATGAAATCGGCCAAGTGGAAGTCTGGGACAGGGGCTTGATTGCAGTTATCTGGATAATTCTACGATATATTGAAACTAAGTAATTTGTGATCGCTTTTCCCAAGCTCATTATTAACCTCAAGATTATTAATTAGTGATTCTTAGTAGGCAAGAACCAGGTCAAACAGATTGTTTCCTCTAGTTGGTTCTGTCACAAACTGTTATAAAAAGCAATCCTGAACCATATCAAGAAAGTCACTAGACTCAAGATTTCCTGTCACCTTATTCCAATCAATTTGTCTAAAGTTAAAATCTCCCATTATCACAGCATTTTCATATCTAGATGCCTTATGAATTTCGTCTCATAGCACCATACTGCACTCTTTATCAAGGTTTTGGAGCCTATAAATCACACTCAAAATAAACTTTTGACGATCCTCGAGAAACTGTAGCCTAGCAGATTCTGTGTCCGATGTTTCTAATCTTATATTTTGTATAACACAACAACTTAAATTATCTCTGACATACATCGCCACTCCACCACCCTTCCTGTTGACCGTATCAGTAGTACTACTACTACCACCACCACCTCTTCCTGCTTATATATAGCCGTCCTGCTCCACTTCTGGTTAGTGTGACTTCGTAAATGGTCCAAGTCGGACCGAAACATCGTCGTAAGCTTCTCTCTTATATATGCGGGTTATTTGTGAATCGATTTCGTACCTTCACATCGTCTATATTAACCTTCCTTATCCTCCTCCTTCCTGAATTGTGAACCATTTGTCACTTAAAGCAGCTGCCACTCTCCAAATCACTACTGGTAACTTTTCCTCCTTACCAGCTACAACCACCTCACCCTCACTCCTAAACCCATCTAGACGAAGCTTTAGCCTCCTATTTTCCTGCTGAAGAAGTAAAATCTCCTTCTTCAACACTTTAACACGAGATTCTAAAACACTACAACAAGCTATGGTGCTTGGTAACACCCCACACTAAATCCCAGACAGCTTAGGACAGGTATGACCACACGTGACCACTAACGTCAGCGTACTGACTGCTGACCTCAGCAAAAGCAACACTTTATACAAAACTAGAATGAAAGGATCACTTGAATGACTTGGGAATAACTATGTCAGCTGATCTTTCTTTCAAAGAACATAATAAGTCAATGGTCACGACAGCCAGGAGAATGACTGGCGGGTATTTTGAACCTTCAAAACAAGGGAAATCATCCCAAAGGTGACGCTTTTCAAATCGCTAGTGCTCAGTGTTGACGGTCCTTTTCAGGGCAGGAGAAATATCACATCGTGAACAAATACAGAGATCGTTTACGACACACATTGAGCCAAAAAAAGCTCACTGGGGCGAAGGAAAGAAATACTTGGTAATACATATCTGGAAAGCACTCGAGCGCCTGGTCCCAAATGTGCACACTGCCATAACAACATACTGGAGCGAGAGATATAGGAGGAACTGCAAAATAAACCCATTGAAGAGCAGGGCACAATAAGGGAACACTTTATCAACATTCGTGGCCCCAGATTATTCATCACCTTACCTGATACCAGAAACACGGCTGGAACAAGTTTAGACGTCTTCAAGAAGAAACTGGACAAATATCTTCATCAGGTGCCATATCATCCGGGTTGTGATGGACATGTACGGCATCATACCTCCAACAGTAACAACCTGGTTGATCAACCTAACAAGTGACTAGCTTGGCCTATGTCCAAGCTCTGGGAGTAGACTCGAAGCACATGAGATATATATATATATATATATATATATATATATATATATATATATATATATATATATATATATATATATATATATATATATGTATATGTATATATATATATATATATATATATATATAATATATATATATATATATATATATATATATATATATATATATATATATATATATATATATATAAATATATATATATATATATATATATATATATATATATATATATATATATATATATATATATATATATATATATATATATATATATCAACGGTATAGTTGTGAAATAATGATTTGTAATTTGGAATAACTCCGATGTAACATTACATCTACCTTCACAGATACAATTAATCATACAATAAAGTAATGCAGGCACCACAAAGGAAAGACATTTTGCTCCTGCAGTTAGCAGTAATCCGGCAAATAAAAGGCATAAAATGGTCGCAAGAGCTGAATGTTTTATGAGAAAACACAGGAATTTTTAGCATGTGCTAAAAATTCCAAGGAGTCACATTTTTGTAGTAAGAGAACTGTCTCACATGAAAACCTTAAATTCGATGATAAATTTAACTATAACGAGTTTATCAATGACGAATTTATTCAATGATGAGTTTATCAGAGATGAAAAGATGTAGGAAGCTTTAGATAAAGTTAAACTAAGTTTACTGTATCTTGAAAGTTCACTGAATGCCTTATACGATGCATCTTTAAGTAATATTACATTAAATATAATTGGTAATATTATAGGCTAGTGATTACACCCGGAGACTGGTGAGAAAATAAGTAAACATCATAGGAGATATTACAAGTAGCAATTAAGAAATCTTTTAGTATTCCTTATTAAACTTATTATCATTCTTCAACACCTGACTTATGCAACATTTACATTAAAAGGATGAGGAACTGTATGTATTTTAAGTCATTTCTTACCTTTAAGTAATATATATTTATTTAAAAAAATCAAGATTGTCATTACCTGACTTAGCTACCGATGGCAAAATACTTATTGTGAGTGAAAATACAAAACCCGTGAGGCTAATGTATCTGCAAAAGGAACTGGTCCTCCCGTACGTGAACTCCAGAGTTAATACTTTGTTCGGCAAGAAGAAAAAAATGAAACGTAATTTTTGAGAATGTTTTGAATATTTCGTTTTAGGGCTGTTAAAAGAACCCAATGGAACTGGTTTGTGCTTCAGCCAGTTTAGAATGGACTGCGTGACGTCAGGCAGTTATAATCATTTATGATTTGTGAAATTGTTAAAGTTATTTGTAAAAATGTGCACATAAACACCTGCAAACATCTTTGCTTGTTTAAAAAATACCTGGAGTATACTTGAAAGGTGTTTTGGGGGGTTAACATCCCCGCCGCAGTGTCCATGACCAGGCCTCGCGGTGGATCAGGGCCTGATCAACTATGGCTGTTGCTGCCGGCCGCACACAAACCGGCTTTTTCAATTTATCACACATAATTTTATATACCTTTTAAATAGGCAGAGAGTTACATACTCCACTAAACTCTATACATTCTTCTTAAGAAACGTGAGTTGAAAACATCAAAATCATCAGATGAGACATTTTTAAGTTGTAGAATAGAAACCGCCGTTTTCTAAAGTATAAACTGGTACCAGCTTAGACCAATGAAGATCTAAAACATCCTCTAAGACATTCCATCCCTGAAAACTTAAAGTTATCATTAGAGTCGATCTGATGGTGGCCCGGTGGCCTGGTGGCTAGAGCTCCCGCTTCACACACGGAGGGCCCGGGTTCGATTCCCGGCGGGTGGAAACATTTCGACACGTTTCCTTACACCTGTTGTCCTGTTCACCTAGCAGCAAATAGGTACCTGGGTGTTAGTCGACTGGTGTGGGTCGCATCCTGGGGGACAAGATTAAGGACCACAATGGAAATAAGTTAGACAGTCCTCGATGACGCACTGACTTTCTTGGGTTATCCTGGGTGGCTAACCCTCCGGGGTTAAAAATCCGAACGAAATCTTATCTTATCTTATCTTATCTTATCACAGACTCGTGGGAGGAAGAAAATAATATACTAACAAGTGGTATATGTGTCAACTTTAATGGAAAGCATAATAATAATAATAAATCTTTAGGTTTTATTAATCTGTAAAAGAAATATTTATTTTTTTAATATTTTCTCTTGGTGACAGCTGCTGCACCAAGAAATCTTAGCTAAACTTCCTTTCCTTGGATCAAACATGATTACTTCCCTTTCCCCAATCACAATGATCTTTACACCTTCAGCACTTCGTTATTTTGATAATGATATTATTTTTTATCTCCGTGGCTTGTATGTACGTTGTCTGAGAGTAGTCGAACGTGACGAGCAAGACCCCAGTCTTCACGGTCCGTGGTCTTCCCTCCGGCCTGCTACTCACCATCTGGATCTACGCTGCCAATACCAAAGGTCGCTCTCAACCCTCTGTACTTGCTGCTGCCACATTGGGTAACCTCCAGGAAAAACATATCTCAAGTGAGTCTAAAAAACATTTCGTCTAAATTACCTTTCATTTAAACTACCATTATATCTTGTTGAAACTACCTCATCTTAAATCATCTCTCATCTAAACTACGTCTCGTCTAAACTATCTTTAGTTTTTAACTAATAAATAAGAATATTAGTACGTAAGCTCATTCAGATTCGAAATAGAATTGAAGATTGAAACACTTATGTAACATATGGGAATCTTTATTGAAGTAACGTTTCGCCACACAGTGGCTTCATCAGTCCAATACAAAGCAGAAATGTGTAAGGACAAAAAGAGTTTGAGGTAATCAGTCCCTCAGCCTGGAGTCGATGTGTTCAGTCCATCAATCTTGTAGAAAATACAACATAGGGCTGTAGAAGTGGCTTATATACTGTAGTCAGTTAAGGCGAAGTAGGAGGAGGCGGAGTCATAGTGGAACTATCCACCAGTCTAAGTAGGTCTTCGTCCCAAGGTTGGAGAAGTGTTAAAGAATTCTTTGTATCAAGATCCCGTGATGTTGCTTCACCTCACCTGACTACAGTATATAAGCCACGTCTACGGCCCTATGCTGTACACTCTACACGATTGAGGGATTGAACACATCTACTCCAGGCTGAGGGACTGATTATCTCAAACTCATCCTCTCCTTACACCTTTCTGATTTGCATTGGGCTGATGAAGCCACTGTGTGGCGAAACGTTACTTCAATAAAGATTCCCATATGTTGCATAAGTGTCTCAATCTTCAACTCATCGGTTTGCAAAACCACTTATCACGAAACAGAATTATCTGCTTTGTTAGTTTCAGCTCTCATCCCCTTAACACAGAGAGATAACCACATCTTGTGAATACACAAATATATATTCATTATATATATATATATATATATATATATATATATATATATATATATATATATATATATATATATATATATATATATATATATACATATATATATATATATATATATATATATATATATATATATATATATACATATATATATATATATATATATATATATATATATATATATATATATATATATATATATATATATATATATATATATATATATATATATATATATATGTGTGTGTGTGTGTGTGTGTGTGTGTATTATAATAACAACACTGCAACTAGCCGGGGGATCGAACCCGTGTTCTTTTAGCCCTCCTCATGGTGAGCGAAAATTCACGACTAGTCGCAGTGTTGTTGTTGGCTAAGTACCACTCGTTCGTGGTTGCAGTACTATATATACATATTGTGTGTGTGTATATATATATATATATATATATATATATATATATATATATATATATATATATATATAATATATATATATATATATAAACACTGATCTCTGGTTGAGACTCGAACCTACCAGCCTTGGAACAAGGTACGCAATGCTATACCAATCTCACCACACTGGACAATACCATGGCGTGCAGCTTGCGCTACACGTTGATCCAAGACAGCCAGCTTTCAGGGAGAAGGCTTACAGCTTTTCATCTCATCCCCTGCATGCATCAGCCTTACTAGAGATTTTAACAATGCAAGGAATTCTCAAGAGCAGCCGAAATACACACAAACACTGATCTCTGGCTGAAGGAGACTCATCCCCTGCATGCATGTATTGTCCAGTGTGGTGAGATTGGTAAAGCACTGCGTACTTGTTCCAAGGTTCGTAGGTTCGAGTCTCCTTCAGCCAGTGATCAGTGTTTTTGTTTATTTCGCCTGTTCTTGCGAATTCCTTGCATTGTTAAAATCACTAGTAAGGCTGATGCATGCAGTGGATGAGATGAAAAGCTGTAAGCCTTCTCCCTGAAAGCTGGCTGCCTTGGATCAACGTGTGGCGCAAGCTGCACGCCAAGGTATTGTCCAGTTTGGCGAGATTGGTATAGCACTGCGTACCTTGTTCCAAGGTTCTGGATGAGTGGAACAAACTCCTGAGTACCGTCATAGACGCTAAGATTTTGTGTAGTTTAAAAAATAGGTTAGATAAATACATGAGTGGTTGTGAGTTAGACCTTACTAGCTTGTGCTACTAGGTCGGACGCAGTGCTCCTCCCTTAAGTGACATGTCTGACCTCACTAGGTCAAGGCATTGGCTTAAGCCGGTGGGAGAATTGGACCTGCCTCTCATAGGCCAGTAGGCCTGTTGCAGTGTTCCTTCTTAAGTAATGTCATGGAAGGCTTGTAAATGAGCTGTGGCAGCTGCAGCTCTTAGCTTGCAAAATTAGGTGCTATGTATTAGCCTACCACTATTAGAAGAACCTGAATCTGAAGGTCCCATAAATCAATCATGGAATATTATCGAGTGAACGAGCAAGACAGAAGCTTAGAATGAGGCAAGCATGAGTACACTCATAATTGTCCCTTTTCATGCAATAAACAAGCACACTCAGGTTAGATTATAGGTCGTAAACTTATGAAAAGACATAATTAGTGGCGAAAAAGAGTACAAAATACCGACATACAAACAGATCTGAGACGGGCTTATCACCTGATAAAGCCCATTCCTTTAAAAAAAAATTTGCCTTTAAAGAATCGCATTGAACCGCATATGTGTCCCCTTATCCGGACCTAATCAAAGTAAAACGAAGGTATGAATACAATTAAGACACCCAGCATGAAAAAAGAAATGCAAGCAATCAGAAATTTTCAGGTGAAAACTAAAAGTTATAAGTAAATCAATATTTAATGTTAGTTAAGTGTGAACACGTTAAAAGAGATTATTTTAGTAAGGTTATGTAGCTCTTAATTTGTCTTTGCTAATACTGTCAAAAGTATCACTGTGTAACAATATTATGATGTGATACAAAATGAAAGGTGGGTTGTAAAGCAAGTTACGAGATATAAGATGGATGGTGAAAAAGTCTGTGAAAGAGGTAAATGTTAATCCAGGGGTAATGTCCGGGTTAATGTGGGAAAAAGATATTACAGCAGAGAAGGTAACAGAGAACAAAACTCGGGAGTGGATCCAGTATGCAGAAAACAGGTTGATATTTACAGGACAGTAAAAAGTTATTTAATTGGTCTAGTGAAAATCAGTAGAAAAAAATAGTTAATTCAAGATAAGACTAAAAAAAAAAATACCCGAGAGTACTGAATGAGGCTACAGAATTAAAGAAGATATTTATTCCGAGCTACATATAGGAAAAAAAAAAGAGGTGGGCGTTGGACCATAGTAGAAAAAACCTAAGTTAATGTTAGGTGGGGTGAACAGCACCAAGAGAAAGTCAGTGGGGCGTAAGACAGTTACAACTGATTGGATGGAGGAAACTCCTTTCCAAATGACAGGTATATCTTCTCGTGTAATATCATTCCATCTTCACTCTGTAAATTGAAGCAGGAGAAATTATGTTTTTCTCGTGTCTGTACGTCTTAATATATCCTGTGAGCACCATTAACTAGGATATATTAACGATCATTTGTATTACATTTGAGAGAGAGAGAGAAAGAGGAGGAAAATGAGGAAAAGGAGGAGGAATACGAGAAAGAGGAAATAGAAGAAGAAGGAGAATGAGGAGGAGGAGGAACGGAGGCAGTAAACAGTACCCACACTTTAGTTGTACCCTTTTCAAACACCATCATTGTTTCTTAACAAAACTCGAGTTACTCGTTAACCAAACATTAACGAATAAAGTTAGTTAAGTAAATGAAAGAAATAACAACCAGCCTATTGCCGATTCTTATTTCTTTTAGTTTTCCATTTGTATGTTTCAGAAATATAAATACTTACAAATTTATATGCCTGACCTTTTTGTGTTAATGAATCACTTTTGGTTGTGAGAAACGTAGAAGCTTCCTCACTTCGTCAAATATCTATTAATAACAACAGATCTGAATATAAATCTTTAAGTTTTGTGGATTATTGCAATTTTAATGCTAAAATGAATGCTTTCCTTACTGGAGGAAATCATATTAACTTTTTCTAAAATGTAATATGAAAACTGCTTCAGTGCTATTTATGCTGAAAGCCTCCTGTTGGATAATGTTATGGAAGGCTTGTAAATGAGCTTTGGCAGCTGCAGCTCTTAGCTTACAAAACAAGGTGGTATATATTAGCCTACCATTGTAGCACCATTGAGTAGCTGCAGCTCTTAGCTTACAAAACAAGGTGGTATATATTAGCCTACCATTGTAGCACCATTGAGTAGCTGCAGCTCTTAGCTTACAAAACAAGGTGGTATATATTAGCCTACCATTGTAGCACCATTGAGTAGCTGCAGCTCTTAGCTTACAAAACAAGGTGGTATATATTAGCCTACCATTGTAGCACCATTGAGTAGCTGCAGCTCTTAGCTTACAAAACAAGGTGGTATATATTAGCCTACCATTGTAGCACCATTGAGTAGCTGCAGCTCTTAGCTTACAAAACAAGGTGGTATATATTAGCCTACCATTGTAGCACCATTGAGTAGCTGCAGCTCTTAGCTTACAAAACAAGGTGGTATATATTAGCCTACCATTGTAGCACCATTGAGTAGCTGCAGCTCTTAGCTTACAAAACAAGGTGGTATATATTAGCCTACCATTGTAGCACCATTGAGTAGCTGCAGCTCTTAGCTTACAAAACAAGGTGGTATATATTAGCCTACCATTGTAGCACCATTGAGTAGCTGCAGCTCTTAGCTTACAAAACAAGGTGGTATATATTAGCCTACCATTGTAAGCACCATTGAGTAGCTGCAGCTCTTAGCTTACAAAACAAGGTGGTATATATTAGCCTACCATTGTAGCACCATTGAGTAGCTGCAGCTCTTAGCTTACAAAACAAGGTGGTATATATTAGCCTACCATTGTAGCACCATTGAGTAGCTGCAGCTCTTAGCTTACAAAACAAGGTGGTATATATTAGCCTACCATTGTAGCACCATTGAGTAGCTGCAGCTCTTAGCTTACAAAACAAGGTGGTATATATTAGCCTACCATTGTAGCACCATTGAGTAGCTGCAGCTCTTAGCTTACAAAACAAGGTGGTATATATTAGCCTACCATTGTAGCACCATTGAGTAGCTGCAG